AGAAGCAACAGTCGTCGATTGAATACACAGCGACTTACCTGTATATCCAGTTGCAGAACCTAGAAGGATGAGGATGAAGAGTCATCTATTGAATACGTAGTGACTTACCTGTATATCCGGTTGCAGAACCTCGAACGATGAGGATCAACATCAACAGTCGTCGATTGAATGCATAGTGACTTATCTGGATGTCCATTCGGAGAACCTAGAAGGATGAGAAGCAACAGTCGTCGATTGAATGCACAGCGACTTACCTGTATATCCAGTTGTAGTATTTTGAATCTCGTATTCTCGAATAGGTGTGCGTCAATCTTTCAGGACTGGGTGGAGTCGCTCGCAGATCGTACGATCCATATAGCGTGGGCATTGTTAGGTTTATTTTTAGGATCATATGTGTTGGGACTGTTGTAGTAAGATAATGCATTTGCCATCGAAAATGACTTACGAAAATTCAAAACATTCAATCGATAGATGTCGGTCACAAACTATCAATACAAAGCAATACTCTTTTTCAATTATTTAACAATACATTTCTATTATCATTTTTTTTAAATAGGAGATTTTTTCCTTTTCAGTTGGTTTAATATTAATTCAGTGTTTTCATAATAAGATCTCGAATGATCCGATTGGTGAAACGAGAAAACATCGGCGTGATGCTATTGCTGTATAGATAACATGTAAACTTATGCGAAAACTGATCATAGCACGAAAAGTAAATAAATCGAATAGAAAAGAAAAGTAAACGTTCGATTCAGATAAACATAGTATCCCATTGCATTTAACCAACATAGCTAATGTTGGAGAGCAGCACCAGATTTTCGCATTGTAAAAAGACTTATGAATCGTGTACAAGGATAAAAATTTATTCTCATCGGTACATGATTAGCCTTGGTTATCTTTATCAGACTCATAGTTTAGTCAACATATGGAATTGATTGATACCCTCTATTCTAGATTAAACTTTGTTCGATCGATCTTGCTGAATTCTACAATGCCGAAACGGAGACCGAACAGAAAGAATCTTTCGAAAGAAAATGATTCAGCAATGGTTTTTTCAATGGAGTCTGTCAACAGCGAAGGAAACATTGTTCCACGTGTAAGCTCAGCGAATCAAAGTCACAATGAAAAGGATATCTTCGACCAGATTGATCCAACCATGAGGAAAAAAAGAAAACACGTCGCAGATTTTAATCAGAGTATGAAAAGAACTAAAGGTTAGCTTTATTGCTAGTGAAAAATAGCTTCATGTTTATGAAAATATTCATAATAAAAATTCTTTTAGTTGTAATTCAATCGGATTCGGATACAGATAACAATGGTGACGATGCAATGGATGATCCGACAGAACGCTCAGCCGATGAAATTTCAAAGCCAATCTCACCGAGTAATGCGGGATTACATGATGTTGAGACATCAAGTTCAAATGGTGCACGCAACGGTTTATCAGCAGACATTTCTTTGGCAACGCCTTCGCGTGATGAAAGTTTTATTTTAAATAAGCACAATGGAAAACGTGTTGAATTAAATAAATCGATTTTACTTCATAAGCAAAATCCATGCAATCAGTCTGTCACTAGTAAAAACTCTAGTACGATGGTTAATAGTATTAATGATGAATTGTCATTGCATTCTCAAGATTTTGATCAAGGCACACGTGAACAGTCACAGTAAGATATTTGAATTTCCTCGTATTTATCAAACTGTACACTTTAGACAATTTCGTAATACATTAACATCGATGAAGAAACCTTCGGCAAACTTTGTAAAACCAAGTGAAATGTGAGTTTGTCGTAACGCTTTCTATCTGTGAAATTCTGGGATTGACTGTATTAATTTTTTATGCCAACACTAACATTTTGAATAAAGGTATTTCAAACGTCTATGTGATCCACACGTCCCATTGAAAATTTGCGTAAAAACTTGAAGTTCTTTCACAAGTCACCGTCCATGCATTAGAAACTTTTTTTGTCAGTTGAAAACAAGATGTATTTTGATAAACAATTGGAATAAATGAGAAAATTACTATTTAAAGACTCCTGCGTGATAAGTGTGACTCGAAAGAAGAATAAAACAGATTTTGCTTGATAGAAAAAGGAGAGTTTTCTTGACGAAACAATCAAAAGAGTTTTATTTATCAAACTGTATCATATGCACATTTCATATTTGTAGTATCTCATCTCAAACGACATCGATCGCAAAGCATTTGTCTCATGCGTCGAAAAGGTAACATTCTGAACAAATACCTACGTGTACATATGTTTTACCTAAACTATTTTAGTACCATTACCTTTGGAAAGTCAATGACAGACAGTCGATATGTTAACTCACAGATTGATCAAAGCAGCAATCAGTATGATTATTTTAACATTTGCGAAATCACATGAAAATTTCCGTCTTTTAGTATTCCGATCGATCGATCTCTCATCTGTTCAGCAAACACGAACAGTGATCCACTTGCGAATCGATCGTCAACAAGTGTAAACAGTCAGTTACGTCCAATCGATGTTAGGAATACATTCGAGTATCGGGAGTTAGAAAAGATCAACAAATCATTATCTGGCAAAGTGGATAATTTGAAAGAAGCGCTTGTGAAAGAACGAAAAGAACGGAAAAAGATTCTCGAGACACACATGTGTAAGTTATTCTTATTTGTGATAGATTAAACTGATTAATTTAAAGTTCTCACGTGTTACGCATCGATTTTCTTTGATTCAATCTTGACCGTTTACAATCTTGCCCAAAAGAAAATGCATTCTATTCTTTTGTTGATGACTTTGCACACAGTTTTTAACCTTATCTTGTTTTTTTTCGTAGTAAAACCTCGTTCGAATCTGTGGCATGAATTATCTCTGTTCATGCAGATACATGGAGCATCTTATCACGGAGATGGACGGACTATCTCCGACATCGGTCGAGACCTTGGTCTTTCGGAACAAATTATCGTCGCTTCACAACGTGATACGGATAAACCAGATAAAGTTGCCATGAACGTCTGGCGCAGACTCTGTCCAACGGTCGATGACAAAGTGTTTGTTGGATCGATTAAACGAGTGCCGGTGAAAACACTCGAGAATATTTATGGTACGCTATTTTAACATATTAACTACCAATAGAAGTTCGACAGATTAGTTCCTTTCATACATGATTACTCTCTCTGATAAGATCATTATTGTTATCTGTGAAAACGACATCGATTATTACTTTAACTATTGAAAAACATTATTTTCATCTCAATTTCAGCGTTTGCTCGGCTTTCTCACCCAACGTGCAGCTTTGACTACAAGAAAATGAAAAGCGACATTGCTGCCAACATCCGTCAAGGTAATTTGGCTTACCGAGTGCAAGGATCCATGGCGGTGAATTATGATTTGAATCAGCAAGATGCTGACAGCGATGAAGACGATGAATCGAATGACGAAGCAGATGATCAATCTCGGGTTCCGTCGAACGACACGCAAGACAAATCAAGCACCGATGAAGAAGAATAACTTTGTCTTCAGTATTTATGAAATGGTTTTATTTACTTTCTTTGTTTATCATTCTTTTGTGAAGTACTTCCGTTGAGCTTGTTGTTATTTTATTTCTCAAATGGGTGTACTCAATGAAACCTGAAAGACGTGTTATGTTATTCTTCTTCTGATTTCTGTCCGCAATAAAGCAGCTTTTAGAATTTCTTATAACTTCAAGTACTATATTCATTTGAAAACACGGCGCATAAGTTTGATTAAAGAATGTATGTCATCAATACGAGATAAGATGAACCATTCTTTCAATTGCGTACTTATCTGAAGAAGTCTGTTGAAAATATTTTGAAATACATCCAAAGAACAAAATGTTTTTAGATGAGTGACGAAGATCATGATGAAATAGAGATGATAATGGATAGAAAATCTCGATTCAGTCGTTATCGCGACCGAATTCGAGAAAGAAAACAACTAGATACAATCGAAGCTATGGCAGTAGATGATTTGAGCAATATAGTGTACGTCTGTTGAAAGTTTTGATACTTTTACTATAATATTTCATGTTAATAGAGGAAATGAAACATCCAATATTGATAGGAACTTAGCTTATGGTGATGATGCAAGATCGGCATTGGATTATGAGGAGAATAGTACATTATCAAATTCAATTTCAAATGAGATAGTTGAACAATGCCCATCGACGATAGATGATGTTAGTAATGAGGGTGATAATGACGACGACGATGATAATGATGATGATGACGATGATGTTAGTGATGAGGGTGATAATGANGGAAATGAAACATCCAATATTGATAGGAACTTAGCTTATGGTGATGATGCAAGATCGGCATTGGATTATGAGGAGAATAGTACATTATCAAATTCAATTTCAAATGAGATAGTTGAACAATGCCCATCGACGATAGATGATGTTAGTAATGAGGGTGATAATGACGACGACGATGATAATGATGATGATGACGATGATGTTAGTGATGAGGGTGATAATGACGACGACGATGATAATGATGATGATGACGATGATGTTAGTGATGAGGGTGATAATGACGACGACGATGATAATGATGATGATGATGTTAGTGATGAGGGTGATAATGACGACGACGATGATGATGATAATGATGAAATCTCCGATTCTCAAAGTAACTTCTCTGACAATCAATATGGAAGTGAAAGAAGATTACCTAATGCCACTGAATTATCTGTAATGTTGTTTTTTACATGGAAAAGGCATAACATCAGTAAAGCTGCTGCAAATGACATATGCCGTATCATTAACGTACTTAATGTTCCAAATATGCCGAAAGATTTTCGTGGAGTTATGAAGCATTTAAAGAAAAATAATCCTGTACTGCTTCAAGGAAGTCAATCTTATCTTTGTTCTTCATGTGGAAATAGGTCCAACAATTATTCGAAATGCAGTGTGAATGAATGCCCATTGTTCAATTCTACTGAGCGAGCTCCAACATCAGTTTTCGTCTTTCCTTTGGTACCACAGATTTGCTCAATTCTTGAAAGAGAATCTATCGTAAAACCCACTTTTGAATCCGATCGATTTGATGATCTGTCAAACTCGCAACGTTATCAAGAAATTGCAACGAAAGAAATGCAAATTGATCCTAATAGGAATTTTGTGACTCTTACATTAAATAGTGATGGCGTTTATCTCAAAAGAATATCTCGATCGTTATGGATGACATGTGCATGTATCAATGAGTTACCACGGAACAAACGTTACGATGTTAACAATATTCTAATTTGTTCTATATCAACTGGAGACGAAAAACCTAAGAAGAATGAATATTCAATAGTATTACAAGATATTGTGAATGAATTAAAAATGCTCGAACAAAGAGGTTTTGATGTTTTGCTTCCATCCACAAGCGCCGATCACAATAGAACTTCCACACATCTTTTTGCTTATACTATTGCAGCAGTTTGTGACAAACCAGCACAAGCACTTATGTTGAATATTAAGGATCCTACGGGATTTTTCAGCTGCGGATGGTGTCACATATCAGGTTCGAGTACTTTGAGTTATATCACATATTGCGTACGCATTAGAGATACTGTAAATGTTCCACACCCTCAAGTAATATTTCTCCCACTTTCTGCATCTAACGATAATTGAGAATTCTTATCATTTTTTAGTTGGAGAGCCGCAGAATATACACATCACACTGGATCCTTTCATATTTGCAAAAGGGAACATGTCATTCTTAATCCACTTCTATAAAGACGTATAGATCTGATTTTTACTAGCATACAGTCACTGAAACACTTTTAGTAATCTCAAATTCACATCTGCCTAAAAACTCGGTCGTGTTTTGATCTGCGGAATATGTTATACTGTTGTATATATATATATATATATATATATATGCTTTGTTCATTTAGGTGAAACTCACTCATCCAACTCAAGATGCTTCATTAGCAATAGTAGAGCGCCTGTTTCTCTTCGTAACAATGCGACATATGATCACTTTATGAATGTTTTAGATAAAGTACGAAATCTACTTTACAACCACTTGCTTCTTGCTCATCTTATCGATATTTCTAATCTAGAATTATGTGGCAAAAGATCCATCGAAAGATAAAGCATGTGGACATGCTGGTCGGTGCGCTTTACGTCAACTAACTTACTTTGAAATCGGTGATAGCTTTTGTTTTGATTCGTTACATGGACTATATGCCGGTGTTTTTGTAAGTGACCTATTGCGCTTATGTAGTACACAATACAGCACTTTCTCCTTTCCTTAATTCAAGAAAAAATTAATGCATCTGTGGCTGGATTCTGTCAGAGTTGATTATTCGATTAAGAAACAGTTCACTACTTTGGAAAAATTATTACAAAGTGTGCATTATCCAACGACTAATAGGTTACCACGTGCTTTACGATATTACACAACTTGGAAAGCCAATGAATTTAGAATGACATTACTTTTTGGATATAAGTATGCACCATGTATATGTAAACAGCCTTTAAATTCAAGTTTTTGTATGATAGGACTTTCGAAGAAGTGATGAAAGCTAAATATTATGAACATTTTCGACTGCTTGCTTACGCTGCGATTTTCTCGGAAACGCGAGTAATGACAACTATTCGCTTGAATCAGATCAAGTGTCTTCTAGATAAGTTTGTGGATCAATTTCATTTGCTTTATGGAGTTCGTACATCAATTATCGTCATGTTTCATTATTTAATCATTTTATTTTATGTTTTAAAGGCATCGAACTGTGTTTCAATTGTACATAGTCTGTCGCATATTCACAGATCTATTCTCGAATTCGGTCCGGTTCATAATTACAGTACTTTTAACTTTGAAAGCACAGTTGGTACGTACACATTTGTGGTTTTAGATCTGTGTGTCGTGTCATAGGCCAGAGTTGTGAAGACTTTGTCAGTGCACACGTTGAAATAGCAAATAATGGTGACGTGTAATTAGTTATCAAATCACGAATGATGCAGATTATGAGCTTCTTTCGGAAGAGCAAGACATTTTAATTATCTAGTTTCAGCTGTTTATGAAGATCTTCAAACGCGGTAGTATCGTGGTAACTAGGCGAACATTCCACATCGTCATGACGAGGTTTCAAATATTCCATTGAAATAATACATTGAATGGAATATATCTTACTTCACCCGATAAGCGATAACTCGCGCAAAATATTAATAAATTTTTGCGTTAATTTGACCTGTTTATTTCATGAATTTTTTTTAATGGTCATTAAAACAAATTCTACTCGATGCCTTACATATATGTACACCACATTTATCTTTCACTCCTCTTATCTATTATAGGGTCGTTTGTCAAACATGTTCATGGTCCAGCATTAGTTTTGAAACAATTAATAAACAATTTCGAGCTTATAACTCATGCTACAACAATTCTTAGAAATCCTATTTTTCATCCGAAAATTTCGTTATTAATTCATCAAATACTTTCATCCAAGAGACGTGCCTTGCCCAGGTCCATTGAGGTATTTAACGGCGTTTGTTTGAGTCGTGCGGTACCTCCTGCATCTCCACATGTTACTACGTACCTGGACAATATGTTTGGAAGGAATCAATACAATCATCATTCATTGTGCTTTTACCGAAATGTACCATTCACAATTCAAAATCCAAATCATAAACAAGTTGACAATTCAGCCATTCTATATTCTGATCATACGAATAATCTTCATGTCGGAATAATAATAGGAATTGCACAGTTGGCACAAACAAACACTGTATTGTTCATTGTGGATCAAGCAGATATTATTAGTTTTGACTCCTTTACGCTCGATGGAAATGAATATTTTAACGATCTCTGCGTCTATGCCAAGCATTCGAACCCACCTAACATCCATTCAGTGAGTTTTAATTCCGTCAGAGAAAAAATTGGTTACCGCAAACGCACACAAACGGCTACGGTTACAGAATTTCACATTTTTCCGAATTTAGTTGAGGAAACCTGAATTTTCATATGCGTAACTATATACAACTTGCATCAATAAAATCTTCCATTTCTATTTTCTTTCTGCAAAGCATTTTTTTCCTATCGAACCTGTATATATTACGTAACTATCATTCTTCTAATACTTTCATACGAGAACGGCTTCTACGCGAATGTAACTCAAACGATTAAAACCAGTAGTTTCAATAACTCATCAAACGTCGACCCCTTATATCGCCACTAGAAAGATGCTTTCTAACGAGTGAATACATGTTGTCACTGGAACCCGTATTTGCACGTACAATCTGTGCCAACAACGACAAGAAGTGTTAGGGTATCGAACGAGTGAATACATGTTGGCACTGGAACGCGTATTTCTACGTACAATCTGCGCCAAGAACGACAAGAAGTGTCCCGGTATCGAACGAATGAACACATGTTGTCACTGGAACGCGTATTTCTACGTACAATCTGCGCCAAGAACGACAAGAAGTGTCCCGGTATCGAACGAATGAACACATGTTGTCACTGGAACGCGTATTTCTACGTACAATCTGTGCCAACAACGACAAGAAGTGTCGCAGTATCGAACGAGTGAATACGTGTTGGCACTGGAACGCGTATTTCTACGTACAATCTGTGCCAAGAACGACAAGAAGTGTCGCAGTATCGAACGAGTGAATACGTGTTGGCGCTCGAACTCGTGTTAACGGAGAAAATCATTGGAAACTACGCGTAATAGCGAAGTTGTCGACAGAATCTTAATTTAGCGTTGTATTTTATACTCGAAATTACAAAGTAATATTACGTAAAGACGGCGTTTTGATGTTTCAGATATGTAAATACAGTGTTTTTACGAATTTCGAACGCGTTTATACGCGTATTTTGGAAGGTCTTGTCTGTCTGGGTAAAGGATCATCCTTTACTGAAACTTGAATTCGTCTGATCTTGAAGTGTATTTTTGATTTTTCGAGAGATTCTTTCCAATGTCATTTGTAACGCCGTAATAGACAAGTCCTCTGATAGTTGACAATCTTAGATAAGGAATCCAAATTATTATCTATGCATTTCGTTTTCAAATTGAACATGTGTGAACCAAAACGGCTTCTATGCGTGTTTTAGATGGAAACAGGTCGATTTAAGAATAATCAGTTCGATTTCATTCATGGCCCTATCAATTGCTTGGAAAAATAGTCTGGCTGATGATGGTGCACTGTTAATTGAGTCGTAATCCTCTTCCTACGAAAACATCACCGAAATGTGTAAAAACACCTGCGTAAGTCTTCTTAGAAAAAGATTTTCCAGGTAGTCTCGATTTAATCACAGACGTATAGATGTCACCAGTGAGTCATGTATTAATTGTTAATTGAACAAACGAACGACTTCCTTATCTACATAGAACAAGATATCATTCATTTGAAATGAAATAATGACTGTTCTGCATAAATATCGATCAATTTTGTTAGTTTTCGGTGGAACTGGTACTTCTATTCAAGTGAAAATCAAATTGACCTACTTCATTTTCTTTTTTATTTCAATAGAAAGTGTGCTGTTTGTCCATCCTCGTCGTTAAGTGTCGATCCTGAATCGGCATGAAAACTACACTGAAAAACAAAAGGTATCCTACTAAACCCATAAAAAAAGTTTCGTAGATGCTCAAAACTTCCAGATGTGTCGACCTGTTGAAAAAATGGTTTTCAAAAATCTGCGAAACCAAAAAAGCTCAGTCGGCGGACACACGCTCCGAACCATCGTCTCGAAACCTTTAGGTTTCGTATTTTGTGGCGAAACTTAAAAAGGTTCCGTGATGAGGGTTCGGAGCGTGTGCCCGCCGACCGATCCTCTTTTGGTTTCGCAGATTCTCCAAACCCATTTTTTCCAACATGTCAAGATATTTGGGAGCTTTCGACGCCTACGAACCATTTTTGATGGGTTTGGTAGAATATCCTATTTTTTTTCAGTTTATATGGGATTAGATGCGTTATAGCGTTTTCCGGGAAACTGATTTTTCCAAGATTTTCAAACAGGATTAAACGATCTTTAGATATACCTTCCATATAGGGCGGTATTTTATCTACTTAGCTTCCCAGTATTTGACAAAGCAAATAATTCGATTGTGCACTGACAAATGCTTACCGAACAAAAAGCTGTCATCACCCTCTGCAGCACCCTCAATGAGATGATACTCCGCGTCACCCTCTGCGCCCAAAACCCTCCAACACCGCAATCTTCTAACTGTATTTCGTTTTTAATCTTTTCTCTACGAGACATAAGACATAAGTCATGCGTCTCTTTTCTCCCCTGCCAGCTTTATAACCAGTCTGTCCATTGTTTGGTTCTTCTCTTTCTTCTTTCGTTCTGTGTTTTTTCCCTTTCCTGTAAACTGGTTGTTTAATTACAAATAATGCTTTCAGATGAATCATTTGAAATGGTTTATTAAATCCGAAGAAGTTTTTCCGAGGGAAAATCTTCTGGTTTTAAACATCACGGCAGAGTTTCTAAGTCAAATAGAGACAGATGAGAAGAACAACTATTGGAAATATTGTTCCTACGACGAAATCAAAGAGAATGTTTTGAAAAAATATCATCTCTCCAAAGAATCTTTCATAGTTCTCTATACCGATGATAAATTGATGGTTGCAGCAAGATTCGCTTGGCTTTTATACTGGCTCGGTTACAGTCAGATCAAAGTTATGATCGGGAGAACTCATATTCCATTTGAAATGTCTCCATCTGGATCGATCCGTCTACCAACATCTTCCCGAAGACCACAGGCTGTGATAACTTGTGACGAATTAATTAGCCAATTCTCCTGTTCAACAACGAAATTTATTGACGTACGGACATATCGAGAATACTCCGGAGAAATTACCGGTTATTCATACATCAAAACGGGTGGACGTATTCCACATTTTGAGTTCGATCCACTCGATGGAATTTATGGAGAAATCGATGGCAATTTAACGTGGCAAGAATTGCAAGGGTATCTCGAATTAATGCGACAAAGGAGTCCAAATTATCGACAGTACAAACGATTGATCTACATGTGTGGAACTGGTTGGCGAGCAAGTTTGGCCGTTCTCTTTGCTGATGAATTAAGTCTCGCTGACACTCTCACTGTTCTCGATTCCGGCTGGTATGAATGGTCAGAACGTTTTCGGAACTCGAGTTGTACTCCTCCATGACCTGATATTTTGACTTTATTTGCCAATCTTTAGCTTTCCTTCACATTGAACAGACATTAATATACTTACTAAAAAAAGATGCTTATTTTTCACTGAGTAGCTGCCTAATTCGACTTATAATATAAGTGACGAATTCCTAACACACTCCTACACATACTCAGGGATCGATAGCGATAGATTTAGCTATGTGTACTCACCCATGCCAGTTTAGGAACAGATAGGAATAGGTTCAGCTCTGTCTAAGCCCACACTCATGTATGTTTAGGAATAGATTTTGTTCTATATAGTCTCAGGAATACTCTCAGCCGAGCTATATATCAGCCTATGTCCATCGGTATAAACAGGTATAACTAAATATATCCCTATCTATTCCTAAATCTGTAGGATTATATAGATATACATCTATTTATATTCGAACTGAGATTAGTCTATCAAATGTCCATTTATTCTCTTTCTCGTAGAGAAAAGTCTTAGAAACATAAATTGTTTGCTTGCTTGTATGTCCGCAGGGTCAGAAAAACATTGAAAAACGATTTTATCGCAAAGACATTTCCAGAGGTATTTCGATCCGGAGACTTCGAATCTGATGTTAGTTTCTCGAAATTTTTCTTAAAAAACTTTTTTGAGACAAAGGACCTTTGTTTTATGAAAAAAAGGTTTTTTTATAAAATTTGACTAAGGAGTATTTTGAGTCAATGAACTCGAATCTGGCGTTATTTTTTTTTCAAATGTTTACATGGATCAATTTTTTTACACAACCGTTGACTTTTTTTATAAAATTTACCGAAGAGATTTTGCTGTCGAAGAGGACAAATCTTGTGTTACTTTTTTCAGAATTAAAGAAACTTTTTTCAAACCAAGGATACCGATTTTCAGAAAAACATTTATAACTTGTTTACAAGTTCGGCCCTCTCTTGCTGAAGACGTTGAACTGAAACGTCTAGATGAACTTGAGGAAAAGACAAAATGAGAATGTACCTCCTCCGCTTTTCAACGTGTATAAATCGATACACTGGTTAAGAGTTTAGTGTTATTACAAACATATAAAATTTATTATCATTTTTCAAATTATCTTAAATAATGATTCGTATATGTTAATTTTTTTACCTCTTTCTTTACATTTATCTTAATTATTGTAGTAATCGTTTCTTTTCTCTCATTCTAGCAGAGATTTCCTATCGTGTTTTCTTTTTTCATGTAATAACTCATAATCTACTTAATTGTATCGATACTTATTTAGAATATCTGATTCTCAATTTTATATTTGGTATAAATATCTAATCTACACTAAAAATAAATGAATATACACAATAATAGCTTTAAACTGTAATATCTGAAAGCACGATTTCTACGAGAAAGAGCTGAGCGAGTCGCTAGACGAGCGTTACTTGTAATATAAGTCAAATTAGGCAACTCATGGGATCTAAATTCTGATGCAAGATATGATATAGTCACGGTAAACACAGGTACAGGCTTTGTGAACATTTATCTCAATACAAATAATACTACATTTTTTTCTCACATGAACTACTCACTTGGTGTCGCCCCAAATGCAATGGCAGCTACTGCTATCAATTCCGATTCCAGATTCGATTTACTCACAGTCAACTATCGTAGCAACACTACCAGTGTTTTCTTCATCTGTTAATTATTCAGTCGGTAGTAATCTAGTCGGTATTGAGATTAGGGATTCGGTTGCCGATAATTATCTTGACATAGTCATTGCAAACAACTGGCTTAACGCCGCTTGTATGCTTCATAATATGGGAGATGGAACATTCTATTCTCAAGTGTCTTATCTATCTGGTAGTTCTCCACAATGAGTAGCAAGTCTGATATAGTTATAACCAATCCTTATAGCGACGCAATGTCGGTATTTCCTTTCATTGCTAGCATCCTAATTTCTAACAATGGACAACCTATTTACTGAAAAATTGATTATTTGGTGAACATATTTGCATGACTGATAACGAACTTTGTTATCTTTCTGTCCATATTTTACGGAAATCCTACAGGAAATGTTGATTTATTCAATATTGAACACCTAACACGGCGTTGTATTTGTTCTGTGTACTGCTCTTTATTCGACGTTCTTTTATGTGTGCTACTTTATATTTCAATGAAATACGTGTTGCAGCAGAAAATCTCACTGGTTTCAAAGCAGCAACTAATGCATTGCAGGTGAATAAGAAAAAGAATTAAAACTCAGATCAAAATATTCTTTTTACTAAATAAAATATTATAGAATGAATGTTTGTCATTGAAGAGTAATTTAATAATAATAATAAAACATTTCTGTCGAGTATATTTTTTGCTTATTTAAATCAAAGTAGATGTGTAAGTGCACATCATGTGTATTAAGGCCAGATAAACTGAACATTTTTTGTTTCACTTTTTACAATACTCATGAACTAACGGATAGAGAAAGCTATTGTTGTATGACAGCGATGCTTTTAAAGATGATTCTTCGCTTGAAAGACTAAAATATTCTAATTAGTATATGTGTGCATATCAAAGTCATTGGAGATCCATATTCACTGATTATTTACAGTGCAGGAGCAAGAAGTTTAGCAATGACTTCATCACGTTGACATTTAATTGAAACGAAAAACCGATTCTGAAATATAAAAGAAGAATGAAGAATAGTTAAACATACCCTTGAATAAATTCTTCTTTGCTTATTTTCTTATCATGGTTAATGTCAAGTTTCTTGATTATTTCTTTCGCACGTTCATCAGGATCATTATCACCATGACGATCTTTTATTCGAGCTCGATCATACTACAACAAACGATGAAATATCAATCGAATCATTCAAATAGATTGATACCATAGCCGAAATCAAACAACCCAATTCGTTCTGATCGAGTTGTCCATCTTCAGAGATATCCCAACTAGAAACAAAGAACGTTTCTCCTCAAATAAAAGAATTGTCGTAGGTTTACAAATCGAATATGGATTCAAGTCGCTATTCTAGATCACCGCTAAAATTGGTAACAGCTGTAGCAAAAAGATATTCACTAAAATCAACTGTCCCGTCACTATTCTTATCCATACGATTAAACACATTTCTACAAAGAAAATATTCCGTATAACTCTCGATGATAATAATATTATTCATCTACCCGCATATTTGTTCATCGGTGTCTGGATCAAATGTTTTACATATCGAAGTAAATGTTTTCTGACCAAGTTGACCTGTCGGATACATTTCAATAAATCCCTAAGCAATCGCATACCAATCCTAAATACTTCTTATTTAACGAATATACTTCATAACACATTTTGATCTCTGTGAGGCGAAAACGAAAGCTATAGTAAGAATTGAGTATCAAAGCTCTTTTACCTTTGTCACTCAGTTTCGAATTTGTTCGAAGTATAGCCAATTCTAATGTAAAGTTTTGCAAAGACACATCTTCAGTTTCAAAACATAGATATAAATAAACGAACCTTTCGGTGTCAATTCCTTGAATTAGCAATTCATCAACAAAACCACGTGGCCAGTCGTACGAAAGAAAAGTGTAATAAATTGAAATCAGACGTAATCTACCGACACCCTTTCGAAAGGGTAAATTATGAAACTAATAATCTACAGCAATACACTTTGCCCTTCACTTCTGATTGTTATGGTGGTTCAACTTAGAATTTAGTTTTGTATTGATGCATTCATTTGTCATAAGTGTTGCTTTACTAAAGTCGATAAGAAGAGACCAATAAAATTTCAAGGAAAATCTCATTCATTTGAGGACAAATATGTGCAAATTAGAACGGTGTTTTTTTCTCTATGAAGAAATGCACGCTGTACGGAGATCAACATTAGCATTTATCAAAAGCTTTTTCTGACTATGATTTTATGAACATACACGTTAGATTTGGATTTACCAGTAGTCAATATTCTTTCCATTTATTCTGTATTTCCTAATCACATTATGTATTTTGTCACCTGCGCAACACTTTTATCTGCTAATAAATTTATACATCCCTTATGAGATTAAATTCTCAATTGTGACGATAGAGACTCGGCTACAACAATCTACCATTCTATATTTCTGAATAATGAAAGTAGCCACTAAAAGACCGACAAGTAGAATCAAACGATTACACAACTATGTTCTAAAACTAAACATCTATGACGATGAAAGAGATTCAACACTCATTGATCAATTATTATCGACACGAATATTCCTCATTCTGTTATTCCTCCTTCTGCTTCTTATTATAGTTTATATCATTCTTAGTGTTCAAACTCATTCGGTGACTATTCAGTCTCCCTCGGAATCCACTTTCACACAACTGTCTCAACAGTATCCAAGCACACTTTCATGCCCATGTTCACACACATCTGTTCGACATGATCGATTTCTCTCACTCAATCCTCTGTATCATCCCATTTGTACAAGTCGATTAGTTAATCAATCATTTATTTCATTATTATCTTCTGCGAATGTGAGTGAGCATTACAAGGAAGATTATCGAATAATGGCAACATCTCATTTTCAAATTCTTGCTTTACTTTGTCGAACAGTTCGACAAACGATCGATGATTCTTTCAGTGAATTCCTCTCACAGCATTTCACTACTTCAGAAGTTGTCTCAAACGAAACATTCAATGCTCAGATGAATCATCTTGTACAACAATTGAAAACAACAAATATTGCCAATATAAAATATACAAGAGATTTTCTGTGGTTGAACGTGTTCTACAATGCAATTTATTCGGGATTGAAGACAAACTTTTACGTTCAAGAGCGGAATGATAACCGTACGACCCAGGTTTCGCGTCATTATTCTTCTTCGAATGCGAAGTGTGGTTGTTATCAATTTGCTGATTGCGCTGCGCAAGCTACAATCAGAAAGTTAGTGTCGTCTAATGCAACTGTAAATACAACGACGGCTGTGGAGAATCCAATCAGACTCTTTTACATACCTGGTCTAAAAGTCGGTTGTCTGCCATACAACTCATTACTTCAATCAACTCTTGAATGTTTCTTCAATCAGTCATGCGTTCATCAAATCCAAGAGTCCGTCCCTGCATTAGCCTTCGTCTCTCCGCTCTCTGCTCACTCTCGTTTCCAACAAAATGCAACTGTCGAGCATCTTCTCGATCAACTCTTCATCGAATCATGGAACCAAATCAACAATTTCACTGCTTATTTTCAAAGTTGTTCTCCCCACTCATGCACATATTCATATGATCGACGATTCAATATTCTTTATGTCATTGTCAAACTCATTGGCAGTTTTGGTGGCTTGAAGATGGTGTTGAAGTTCTCTGCTCCACTCATTGTCAAACTTATTCGACGCATTCAAACTTGTCGATGTATTTCTAAGGCAATGGACGAAAATGAAATCCCTGTTCAACAAAGTGAGCTATTTCTTTTCATGCCAACATTCATTTTTTATTTTACATGAAATAGATGCAAAGCAGTATCTTGCATCTCTTGTACAGAAAATAAAAACAAAACTGAAGACACTGAATCTGTTTCCATTGTTGTCTGATGAAACAGATGGATTGTATTCAACACGACTCTACATCATCTCATATATCATTGGAATTATCGTGTTAGTCTTCTATACTTCGATATCAGTTCAGACGCGAAGTATCACTGTAGATGAGCCAAGTTTGAACGAATATGAACGATTGTATGCGAAATATGGCAGAACATTGATCTGCCCATGTCGTCATCTGTCTGTGTCTTACTCTTCGATAATTCATCTCGAAGCCGAATATCATCAAGTATGTTCGAGCGAGTTTATCGACGACAATGCTTGGTTATTATATTTTAATGTGACTGATGGTTCCCTCTTTTTTTTGGATTTTCGAAGTCAGGGTTCAAAACTATTTCGCATACTTCAGACATTATGTCGATTATCGAATGAAACGGTGAGAAATCAACTACGCGTGTTCAGTGAAACGCAATTCATGAATGCACATGTTGTGTCAAGAGATACATTCAATATTCAAACATCCATTCTAATTCGTCAATTGCAACAACAGGTAAGAAAACTTTGATAATATTGCGTATTATTCACAGATAAAAGAAACAGTCCTATGAAAGAGGATGCCCAACAGTGAAAGTTCCGAAGGGAGAAAATCGAGACTTCAGACTTCAAATACTTCACCCGTACTTTACCGCGGTACTTCACCATCACTTCGCTACTACTTCGCTACTACTTCGCTAATACTTCAAATACTGTCTGAAGTAGATGAAGTCTCGCTTTTTTTCTCCTTGAGAAGTTCGCAGCTGCACGTTGCACAGCTTGCCTGCATGAAGCAACATAGGTTATCATCGATTAGGGTTATGCAGGCGCAAATACTCAGATAATATACATAGTTTATACGCACAATTCATACGATAGTGACAGAAGCAAATCATGATAAATTTGCGGATTTGAATTGAGGACGGAGAAAGATATTTGATTATTGTAGACTCTTGACTCATTTATGACAATACTAGCGGAGGTACCCGCTGCAAGTCTCGATAACATAATAATATAAACTTGGGGCGTAAGAAAACGATGTGCTTAACATGACATATACGTAATGGACCGATAATGTTATACAGTTTGTTCAGTTCTTTCTCGGCTTAGCTACAATATTTAATAATATTTGAAACGTGTCTTAGATATTGTTACCTATTTTTTATTTATGAACTTCTTTTAACGAAAATTGTAGTGAAAGAGTATTTTTTTATTGTAAGGCTGTTTGGTATACAACGTTTTTTGTTTTCCCATCAGGAGCAAAAATATATAAATTCTTCCCAGTTCCCACCCTTGAACACGCTACGTAGAGTTGACCGTGAGAAAAGCAAGAAGTTTCTAAGTTGATGCCGGCAACTTTGAGTGATTGCCCTTGAGACTTATTTATGGACATCGCGAAGGCAAGACGTACTGGAAACTGAAGTCGGATAAATTGAAATGGAATATCACCAGAAGGAAGCAGTGGTATTCTCGGAATGAACACGTCCTCACCTTTCGCGCAACCTGTCATGATCGTTGCTTCAATCACGTGAGGCATTAACATCTTAACGCTTAGTCGTGTACCGTTGCACAATCTTGGCGCATCCAGATTTCTCAGTAACATAATGGGAGAGCCAATCTTCAGAAGCAAGTTGTGTGTTGGCATTCCAGAAGGTTCGAGTGAATTGAGAAATTCAGTCGGATACTGAACTGCCATATCAGCATCTTCAACTGTGTCAATCGACTTATAAGATACAGTTTCACCAGGAAGCTGCTGTTGAATTTGTAGATTGATGGCATTAACGTTGAGGTTTTTCGGAGCCAGAATAGCACGTTCGCACAGCCACTTGTGATCCTTGAAGTGACTTTGAATGTTCGGAAACACTTGATTCTTGAGAATTTCGACCGATTCAACGATATTGCAAAAGCTGTCTGGAATGGTAATTAGTCCACTGACTGGATCAGCAGGTATTTTGCCATTTCCAATCGTGAGAAGCTGCTCAGCGAAATGGCCGGCAGACACATCGCCTTGTAAGTGTACTCTCATGTTGGTACTGAGCTTCAGTGACGTAACATATCTCCAAAGGTACGAAGATTTCAAGCAAGCTTTAAGTTCATCCGCCATGGTGCCTTTTGGAATAACTGGTAACGTTTGCCTAAAATCCCCAGCAAGAAGTACAACTAATCCACCCATGTTCTTTCCATTGCCACGAAGATCTTGTAAAGTATGGTTCAAGGCTTCTAATGCATATCGGTGGGCCATTGTGCACTCATCCCATACAATAAGTTCGCATTGTTGCAGAACCTTTGCTTCTCCAGTCCCTTTGAGAATACTACAAAGATGAGTTTCATTATCCAAGAACTTAAAAGGTAATTTTAACGTGGAGTGCGCAGTACGGCCACCGTGCAGCAGTGTAGCAGCAATACCGGAAGAAGCGACTGCAATAGCTATCTTTGACTGATGCCGGATTTTAGCCAACAATAAATTGATGACAAATGTTTTTCCTGTTCCACCCGGTGCATCAAGAAAGAGTATTCCGCCAGTTTGCTGCTCGACCTGGGCCAAAATTGCATTGTATGCGGCCCTCTGGTCCGGCACCAACAATGGTTCATTTGCTCTTATATAAGCATCCAATTCTCTCGCATTATAACTTGTTTCCCTGAGGATTGCGCTACTCAGTCGATTGTCCAGATTTCGTTGAGGAGCAGGGATCTCTAGCTTCTCAAGCTGTTTACCACCCATCTCCAAAACCTTATCTTCAAGAATAATCAGTGCTTGATTAAACATATCTGGTGTGTAATCCAAATTCATTCCAGGATTTTGTCTGCGAGCTTCTCTAAGAATGTCTTCGGTTAAGCTCTCTTTGTATGATTCCCACAATTGTCTTGGATTAGCTGGTCCACATGTAGTTAGTATGAGTGCGAACAAATTTCTCAGTTTTGCTGGTGATTGAGCTGCGGCTGCTTCAGACATTGTGGCATCCCATTGCTGGTCATCTTGCAGCAATCCATGTAACTGACATGCTTCACGAAATGTAGCACAGATTCGACCATTCATAGTCCGAAGAGCTTCAAATGAAGTAGGGCCTCGAACAGTATGAAGTAAAAGTCGTACGAAGAAGCATTCGAAGTTATTTGGATGTACAGTGTAGACACGTCCCAGAGCATCAGATTCCCTAATATTTGGATGGCCAGTCACGACTGCCCCTTGAACACGTCGCTTGAACATTTTCCCGGACGCATCCCAGGTGTAATATTTTGGAACATCACAGTACAACAGTGTTTTAGCGAAGTCATCTTTTTGACAGAGTAAGAAGAATGCTGTCAATGTTGTCCTTGGCGGTTCATTGACTCTATCGTAGACATTATCTTCGGTAAAGTAAACACGTTGGCCATTCTCTAAATGTACAGCCAAATGAACTACCGTCGGATACCGTTCATGAATTGGAAAATCTAAGATTCGCCATACCGCCTCATTGCTACTTATGTATCTTCCCAATTGGAAGTGCTTAATTTCATCAATTGCTGTTCCATCTTTTTCCAAGCCAAACACTGCTTGATCACTTCCCTTGTTGACATATTTGCATATATATTTGATTGACTTCACCGAGTTGCAATATTCCACATTGATGTGAGCTTGAAAGATCCGACTGAGCAAGGGGCAATATGGCACAATCCATTTATTGTCGATCTCAATTTCTCGAACGGAATTGCCAATTTTCATTGAGACTTTGGCTTTGAAACCACCATCTTCCGAATTTCTTCTTCTGTATAGTGGATATCCGTCGTCACCAGTTTCTGTTTCGCGTAGGAGCTGTCTTGGATATCTTTTCGTGCACTTACCGTTTTCCATACAGGGAGATTTCGGATTGATAGCTCCACATGGACCGTGAATCATGGTTTTAGTGATTGTTTCATACAGATAAGGATCTCGTTGACGATCGGGTATTTCTGCACTGATGACACTATCAATCTGATCCGCTTTGATTTTTTCCTTTAGCCATATCAAAATATGCGCGTGCGGTAAGCCTCGTTTTTGCCACTCAATGGAGTACATCCAGCATCTTGTCGGCCCGAATGCATTGCTCTTCGTGACGATATTGATCAACTTTATCAGCTTTTGCCTGAAAACTCTGGCTAACAGATCATGACGATTAGAGGGAACTTGACCTTCCAGTAGTTCTTCTTGAATTTCCTGCCACTTAGGATTGCACGTAAATGTCACGAAGAGATCGGGCCTTCCGTAGTTTCTCACGTATGTCATAGCATCTTGTGTGTACTCATGCATGTGCCGTGGACTTCCAGTAAAAGTAGATGGTAAAATCACTAACTGACCAATATTGCTGGCACTTCCATCATTGGCTATGGCATCCCTCAGATGAATGTATTCATCAACCCGAAGTGTTTTCTGATTATGGCGTAGAAAAGCCAATCGTTCGCTTTCGATTTTTGCGTACATGTCAACCACAAACTGATGGAAAAGTTGTCGGCAGCGTAAGATATGGTTGATAGATCCAGTTCGTACCATAAGCCTGAAAGCATAGAAATCCATCGCCGATACTTTCTTACGATCGACAGCTATTCCTGTTGTGGGATTGGTTTGTGCGATACAGAAATGATAACCATCTTCTCCTTCCCAAAAGATAAGCGGGTATTGCAAGGCGTCATAAGATCTATGTGTCTCAGACACTCTCTGTAGCTGCCCGTTCTGCTTCTCCAAGACAATATCTCGTCTATCAAATTCATTGCCAGCTATGACGACCGCTACCTCATTAACCACAGGTTCATTGAAACGTCTTGCGTGCTCTCCAGCAGGTTTTTTGTCCGCTCGAATAACCACCTTGTATTGATCCGAAGGCATTCTTTGAAGAGCAGTCTTGAAAAGATCAATATAAATGTTATGTTCATGAACCATCTTTTGCAATTTCTCCACAATATCTTGACGTACGCCAGGAAGATTTTTACAACGTTGTTGTACTTCTCTTCTATCATCACCCATGAAGTAAATTTGAAGAAATTTAGGTTCGTCATCAGAAGGTGGTAGCAAAGATCCTACACGATGATATACTTGACCTTGAACTCGGAAGGTAGGCATAAAGCCAGAGTCAACAACCTCCTTTGACATTCCAAACGAAGTCATTTGAAAGCAGGAATTGTATTTTCGAATGTTATCCAGGAAATGATTCGACTCAGCCGTACTTCCTGACATCAATGACTCCAATGGTTCAGGAGGCGGCCGAAGTTGAGGTAGCTTTACTTTACCACCAGAACAGCACATACCTCGTGTTTCTCCAGGCCATTTGAGCGCCTCACAGTATGGACAAACATCGGTCATTCGTCCAATACAAAGCTGAGGATGATTATCATAGTTTTTGGCTGGGTCATAGTGAAATGCTTCCCGTTCTATGAATGTCCACTGATTTGCTCTTGAGACAGCTTGTCGCCTACGCTGATCTTCACTTCGAGTTCGTCTCTGCTGTGGAGACTCAGCTGCTCTTGCAGTAGCATGTCTCGTCCGATCATCTACCCGTCGTGTTTGTCCCTGTTCTGGAGACTCGGCTGCTCTTGCAGTGGCATGTCTTGTCCGATCATCTGTCCGTCGTGTTTGTCCCTGTTCTGGAGACTCGGCTGCTCTTGCAGTGGCATGTCTTGTCCGATCATCTGTCCGTCGTGTTTGTCCCTGTTCTGGAGATTCGACTGCTCTTGCAGTGGCATGTCTCGTCCGATCATCTGCCCGTCGTGTTTGTCCCTGTTCTGGAGATTCGGCTGCTCTTGCGGCCGCCATTCTTCTTGAAGCTGATGTACTTCTCCCCAAAGAGGTTCTTTTCTTTACTGGCATCACTTAATACGTTTAGTCTACATATAAAAGAGATAAATGTTCCAACAGGCATAATTTTTGTCATTCTCTTCTTTTACCTTATAGATTTACTTCGAACACCGTGGTCGAAAAATAATCGCTGAGTTGGGACGTTAGAACGCTTGTATAGAATTGTGCGCACTTACTTGGTTTTGGACATTTGTTTTTAGTGACACAGAGAAATATCGATTCTATTATAATCGCAGTTGAACGAAAAAAGTTGAGAATGAGTTAAGATGTATTATTGAAAAATATAAAAAAACGACATATATATATACGGATACAAAACAACGGGATATCTCTAGCGTCACCTTGCAGTGTGACGGAAAATTCCAATGACGATATATGACATATGAAAGGAATCTCATCTGTCACCTCACGCGCTACAAATTTCTTAGAAATTGAGTCATATTTATTCAAAACCGTAAAACAGCTGTTTACTCACTGACGTTTTGCATCGATATATACGTATCGTTAATACGTCATCCTTCGTGAGTCAGGGAGAAGAACAAAAAAATATCTTCGTGCGTCATGAGAAACGCATCAGCCATAGTTGTGCGTACGAAAAAAAGACTAATACAGATTTCTCTATTCAATAAGTAGACATATGAGCGCTCAGACGGCCTTCGGCCGCCTTCGCTATTCATATTCTCGATCTTTCAAAATCCTGAAAGTGTATTCATAAGCTTCGTAGGTTGCTTGTAACAGACATATGCCTTTCAAGCACAGGTCGAACATGTGGATTGTTGTCTTTGAGCGCTCAGACGGCCTTCGGCCGCCTTCGCTATTAATTTCCTCAATTTGGGAAATCTCGCAATCCTATTGGTCAGCTTCGTAGGCCGCTTGTAGCATGCACAGGACTCCGAAGCACAGATCGAACATGTGGATTGTTGTCTTTGAGCGCTCAGACGGCCTTCGGCCGCCTTCGCTATTAATTTTCTCAGTTTAGGAAATCTCGCAATCCTATTGGTCAGCTTCGTAGGCCGCTTGTAGCATGCACAGGACTCCGAAGCACAGATCGAACATGTGGATTGTTGTCTTTGAGCGCTCAGACGGCCTTCGGCCGCCTTCGCTATTAATTTCCTCAATTTGGGAAATCTCGCAATCCTATTGGNTGTTGGATACAGAATTAAATTCTCTATCGAATGATGTGGTTTTCGGTAAGGGTCACCGACCGAAACCCCAGGTTTTTGACGAAACAATGAGTTTTCTGATCTTTCAGAAATTTGTAATTCTTACTAATATTCGTCCGAGAACTTGTGCTGAGTCTAAAAATGGTTGTGTTGAAGTCAGAATTTGATTCTCTATCGAACGACGTAAGACTCGAAGGGTTTCATCGCAGGTGAGGATCTGAGTGTGGGTGTGATATTTTTTTGTCTCGACAGTCCATGTCGAAAGATACATTGTTCGATAGATAATCAAATTCTGACTTCAACACAACCATTTTTAGACTCAGCACAAGTTCTCGGACGAATATTAGCAAGAATTACAAATTTCTGAAAGATCAGAAAACTCATTGTTTCGTCAAAAACCTGGGGTTTCGGTCGGTGACCCTTACCGAAAACCACATCATTCGATAGAGAATTTAATTCTGTATCCAACACAACCATTTAAAACACCAGCACAGATACTGAAATGAATATTAGCAAAAATAACTCGAATATCGTGCCAACTTTACTTAAGTTAGTGGAAGGTATAAATTTTATTTTTGTTTTCTATATATTTTTATCAATTTGATGATACATTATTTTTGCTTACAAGAAAATTATCGGAAGTGGTTCATAGCTTTCAGCGTAATTATCTGCAACACTTCCAACGTGAAATATGTTCGATTCAGTATGTTTGTTTTCAGGGATTATATTAGTAATGTTTTCTGTATTCTGAAAAGCATAGGTGCCAACATCGAACGAGTAAGCCACCAACAGATTCACTCACCCACCCGAATATCCCCATTTTTTCCTCATTCATTTTCACTTACTTAGACTCACACACCCCTTTACTTCCTTATAATTCTATCTCATATCGTGTTTCACAAAAGCCCAAAAGAATAGCAAAAGATAAGTATGATTATTTTTAACATAAAAGTAAATAAACAGTCCGAAGGACAATAAAAGTATATGCTATACTTTAATTTCAGTTACAATGAATGAGGGGTCCACGAGAAATTAATTTTATCCTAGAGTAACTTCGTTTGTGCTAACTAAACCTTACTAATCCCTTTAGTCCTTTTACATCTTTTAGTCGCTTTACTCCCTTTCGTCCTTTACTCCCTTTACACCCTTTAGTCCTTTTAGTCCCTTTACTCCCTTTACACCCTTTAGTCCTTTTAGTCCCTTTACTCCCTTTACACCCTTTAGTCCTTTTACCCATCTTCCTCATAGTAGTATACTTGTTTGGAAGATAGACGTGGTGAAAGAAGAGGATGGTTTTATCTTAAACTGTTAAAGGGAAGAATTTTTTTCTGGATTAAGATTACATTGTCTGCAATTCAAAAGATGAAATAAAAATAAGTAATAAAATTTTGATCGCTCTCCAGAGAAATTACAGAGCATATTAATATATTACTTGAGCCATGAGTTCGTTTGCTCGCACATAACGGTGTTAATGTTTCTCAAATCTGAACGTAAATTAATATTTCGCTCTAAGCGGCACATAGGTCGTGTATATGTCTTTTGGCGCAATCTATCGATGTACATATCACATGAGTTAAGAAAGAGAGTAGTTGGTGTTGGTACTATCGTTTTTGTTTCGTGAAAACGGTCTTTTAAAATATATCCAAACAGTGCAAGTAAAGCGAGTCAAAGGAGTCAAAGAACTAAAGGCACTAAAGGGAGTAAGAGAACTAAAGGTGTGCAGGCAGTAAAAGGAACTAAAGGAGTATACTAATAGTTACTAGTATGTCTACGTATATTAGGGATCATTGTAACATGTATTCATGTGAGTATATATATATATGCATTGGTCGAAATTAGTAAATCAAAAATTGAATGTAATCTTAAAAATCTGCAACCGAAACTTGTCCCAATACCAATAATGGAACAAACATTCCAAGTTGACATTTCTGATATTCTTACGAAGATAAGCAACAAAAAATAAAAAACAAACAGAAAGACAATGTTATCGATTAAGCGACGCGCACTACCTCTTATACCTGCCTATTCTATCACAACTCATAAAAGTCAGGGAGAAACTTTAAACAAAGTTGTAATTGATTTAAAGTTACCAAAGGATACAGATGATATCGCTGCAGTCTATGTACCATTGTCCAGAATCAAACGTTTAACTGATTTAATTATTTTGCGAAATTTCGATTACAAAGTCTTACTGATCAAACCCAGTAAATCTCAAGTCGCCTAGATGCAANTAGAAATTAGCCAAGAACAAAAATTTCCTTCGCCTTCAGTACTGATTATTGACTTTCTTCAAATCGGAGCGGTAGAATACTGTAGGAAAAATTAAAGATCGCTCGTTTCTTTGTTAAAATTTCGGTATCCCACCATAATTTTAAAATAGAAATTATTGCACTACATCATCAGTTTTAAGCAGATTACTTATGGTCTTGACTCTAAAATGATCAAGAGATATCCAAGGAGTATAGTTCTCTTTGGGATTTGCAGTAACAAACAATGTAACTACATTGTGACTTCTATAGCTAAGATTCATCATTTTCTATGCTTGTGCGTACTTCATAAATGAGTATGGATAGCTATATTATCAGACATTTTACGCTTCCCATAAAAATTCCTAGACGACATTTTCAGATAAATATTTGAAAATCTATTTACTTGAGTAAAGAGCAAAGCACAGACAAAATGGTGAACAAAATTAGATCCAGATTTATAATCAATCGTCACCGATTTTCTCGACGGACTGTTACAGGGAAATCACTTGTATACCTTTGCCTAATTCTTGTAGCAAGCAGTGAAGCGGAAACATATAAAGAATCATACAGGCAACCAAGTGATTGTATCTGATCTTTTCTGCGTCAGATAGAGAACAGTCTTTAACGACCTAATGTAATATCTTGAACGAATGTTTCATGCGCCTTTGATTTCATCTTCTACAGAGCTATTTTGACCTCGTCACGTATCCCATACAAACATCTAGCCTCAACACCCCTCGCAAACGATGTTTTATGAAGTTTTGACCATTTTCAAAAAAATGTTTTTTTGACCTTTGACCTTTGACCCTGACACAAACAGACAAACAAACTTTTTTTTATATGACCCTCCTTTCAGTCGAGGGAATTGTTATGTTGTAATATCTTCTTATAACAAATCTAGGTATTTTACTTATTCTTTCTTAGCTTGATCTCTTACCTTGATGTATCTCTTCGGATATCATCTCTCTTGATATCATATGTATCATCTTGTACCTAGATCTCTTTACTGTGATGTGAAATCTTCTGATATCCGATATGTATCTCTCCATCTACCTGGACAGTTATTCCCCCTATATATAGCCCGCATTTTTATAACCGCGATGCGATCTTCTACTTGGTTATTTATCAATAAACTTGTTCAGTCCTCGAAACGATATTCTACTTAACAGAATATTGTTGAATTTTACATGAATCAAATTTTCATGAAATATATTCAAGATTAAATAAAGATTCTTTAAAACTATCTATTTGACATATTCCTTGTATAACAAACAAGTGAACTATGAATTGAATCATAACCTATTTCAATTTTGATTATTATTGATTAAATGTAATATAACGAAAATGAGTAAATAACAATGTACAATAGAATAAAATATATTTATAATACTTTATCAATCAAATATAAATTTATTCGATTTCAACAGTTTCTTGTGTTTAATATAAACTCGGAACATAGAAAAATCTCTCTCTCTCTCTTTCTCTCTTGTATACTTTTTTATTAAATTTAAATTTTTCACATTTATTTTGTATATTATTCTTATCAATAACTTACACAAAACAAAAGAATTTCAAGGAATGATAAAAGAAATCAAAATTATTTTATTAACAATTCTTAATCAAGTTTCATTGTTAACAAATATATGAAAAGAATCAATAAAAAATCTCAATTTATAGACGCCGTATTGTTATTAATAATTCCACCCCAATCTTTTTCAATAACCCTTTCAATTGCTGTCACAGTTTCCGGAGAATTACATTTGTCTCGATTACATACAAATGCGATCAGAGGAAAAGCGACAGTTGACTGTGCAGGTGTTGTTGTTTGAAATATATCATAATTCATTCGAGTAAAGTCCTCAGGCAATGAACATCTCTTATTAATTGCATTGCTGTCAGGTATCCGCTCATATACACAAGATCCATTGATGCAACTTTGTAATTTATCTGAATTATTGTAACATTGTTGTACATTCGATGAACTACTACCAGTAAAATCGAGTATTTTATGTAAACGAGCATGTAATCTTTGAACTTTTTTTGTTAATCCAACATAATATGAAATATATTGATTATAATAATCAGTACTACAATTATCAGAATTGGAACAAACATAAGTCCAAAATACAACTCGGTTGGTTTGTTTCTTTTGTATATAAAATGCACCCATTGATCCAAGACCAGAATCAAATTCCAAATCTGTTCCATTGTCATATCTGAATAGGACATCAACCGTGTGTTGCGTATAATCAATTATAAATTGGACTGAACATTTCCGAGATGATACATACGTGTCACAAGTGGATGGTATAGCAGATGAACCGTTAAAATAATATTCAAAGTCGCACTGATAGAGACAACTTTTCAACTTCGCACTTTCGTTTTTCACCAATAATTCGCGATGTGAGCCGTTTTCCGAATTGACTAACGAGTTGGTGTCGGTAAGAACACCAGTAATGAGAAGAGAAGTAATAATTATACGACACAACATATTTGTGTAGAATGGTAAAAAGAAACAAAATGATACAAGAATTTATATACACGAGTGATAATGTATGATATTAGATAAACACAGAACATTCACGAAGAAATTCGATAACATCTAAAACCCTTTTTTCTTTATCACTATTGTAGATTTTGTAATGTAATTGTCTTTTGGGCGTTCTCGCAGTTCTTTTCTTTTCTCATTAATGTGGAGGGCGACGATTTAAATGTCAACATACTAAGTATATTATAACTGTTCTACATAACTGCTATGATGACGTCGTTTTGACACGAAAAAGTTGAATTAAAATTTGCATGAAGAAATTCGGGCGGAGTCCTTTGGATCTATTGAATTCAATCGTATTGAGCATGAATCTTTGAAGATCTTTTCAACATATTACTAATGAATAAATTTGATTGCATGGTGTGTTAAAAATCTTGGCAATAAAGGATATAAATGAGAGGTGAGTGTGAATCCTCACGCTCATCCTCAAGATCTATTCAACATTTTCACCAATTGACTACGAAATCTTTTAGATTATTTAAATAGAATTTCTTCAAAAAGTAAATGTCATCAAAACACGTAATAAAGAATATTTCCAATGAAATGAAAATTCTCTTCTATTTACAACAAAAATGTTCATCAGCAATATAATTAAAAAAAGACAACAATCATTCGATTACGTTTTATTATTTGTTACTATAAAATATAAAACATTATCATCGTATTGTAAAAATAATTTCGAATTGTATAATTGCAAAAAATTCTATCTAAAAGAAACTATTTTTATTTTATAAACACAATTATTGTAAGAAAAAAAAACTAAAGTAAAACAGTTTCTAGTTAGAGAAAATTGTTTTACTTCATTGGATAATTATCTTTTGCAAATATATTTCGATTGGAAATAAGAGAGTTAGTTTATGGTTTTCTATTCATTATTAAAAGTTTAATTTAAAATGCTCTATATTTTCATCCATATAAATAATTACCAAGGAAAGTAATGGACGTATTTTGAAAATTAGTGCAGAAGGACAAAAAAGAATGTATGATATTCATAGAAATAACAATTGTTTATTATAGCAACTGAAAAAACAATTTCTATTTATGATTTTGTTCTAATGATGTAGCGTATCGGTGGATTACATTGTGGAATGTTCTAACGTAAGAAGATAACCATCACAGACTATACTTTTAATAAAAAAACTCATTTATTAACCATCTGGAAATAATTTTCATCATTTTTATTGTAGTTATTGTTATCATTTAATTCTGATAGGAATTTGTATGTTGTTTTATAGAAAATATCGATGAAGAACAAATTATTTTCCTATTGAACATTTTAATTGTGTAAATACAACAAACATATTTTCTGTCTAACATTTAATAATGAAATTAGTTCTTATTATACAATTTGTTATTGAACAATAAATAAGTAGTGAAGGAATAAGGAAAGAAAAAAGAAACAGTTTATATTGATGAGAAAAATGTTTTTCTATTCAAAGAAAAACTTTTTTGTCTCTATTCGTATAAAACGGTTGGTTCAAATACGTTTAGAGTCAGTTGAAAGTATAATTTTTCTTCTAACATTCACCTACATAATATTTTCTGTAGTATATATTTTTATTTAATAAAAAAACAATACGATTACTGAATAGATGAGATGAGGAATATATTTCGTTCGTAGATAACATTCACAGGATATTCGTGCTCTTCATTAGAATTTATTAGTCTGGTACGATCAACCAGTAAAAGCTCGACAACTGTTCACTGGAGCATATTTTCTCTCAAAGACATGACTCACTATAGGCATGCACCAAATCCAAAACTTGAAGTTTTGAAGTTTTGGTTTCGAAACGGATTTGGTTTTGATGGTTTTGATTTTGAATCGGTTTTGGTTTTGAGGTTTTGATTTTGGTATAGTTTTGATTTTGATCCAAAACCAAAACCATTACCAGCTAATAGCATGACATCGTGAATTACCTGATAGGATTTTAAGAAAAAACTCTATTCTCAGGTGTTGTAAATATGAATGTATATATTTCGTTAAAATGATGTTATGATAGAATACAATGGATCAAAGAACAACTACAGGACCGGCTTAAATCAATAGCTCATCACGATAACAACACATTTTTTAAGACTTTTTCAGTTTTAATACTTCATAATGTAATTAGTTAAACATGATTAAACGATCTTACTGAGAATTCTTCTCCTTATTATTAGATACTTATCATAAATACTTTATTGTTTCTGATAAGATGTACGATGTTAATAATATGCGGGCAGGTTCAATAACAATTCCTTGAGAGAACAAGCACACCATTTTATTTGTCTATCATAAATATTATTCAATGGAATTGTGTTCTGTCAGAACATGTGTTTATCAAAAAATCAAGAAGAGTCAAAGTATATAATTTATGCACAAATACTCGGAGATTTTCTATTAACTACCATATATTTATCGATTATTGCTCAATAATAGCAATGGCGGTTTATAACCAGCTGCTATGTCAATCATTGGATTTCTCTTAAGAATTCAAACTGGTGAACTACACACGATGATTAGAAAATCAGATTTTGTGTCCAGCTAAATAAGTATGATTTATTCAGTTATAGGATTATTCATAAAAATCTATCAAATATACTCAACACTTCTGAAATCGCTAGTGCAATAAGAATTTTGATGTTTTTTGTATGACTTTATTTTTCAAGTTATCAACCTGGCAATTAATTTGAAGTATGTTAATAATTTTATTACATCATCAAGCTTCGTTCTTTTATTTTATAGACATATGTTCATCGTGACTTCAAATCGATATAAATAGTAAATGAGAAATATAAAGTAAGAATAAAATACTGCAATATAATATAGAAAACAAAAACAATTCAAGTGCAAGAAAATAACATTCAATATAAACATAGTTCAAGAGAAAAGATTATCGAAAAAACCAATTAGGTATATAATATCACTGTCTTTTATTCAATATCAGACTCGTTGCCATCGTCGTGAAGTTTGTCCTTGAGAAACATTGAATGACATAAGTTATCTGGAGTTAAACGTGATCGTTGTTTTCTTAATAGGTAAGAAGCTGTGCTGAAAGCACTTTCAGAAGCAACTGATGTTGCTGGTGTAACAAGATGACCACAAGCGATTTTAAATAGACCATTCAATTCTGAACGATTTTGTTCCCAAAATTCCATCTATAGCAATGAAATATTCGTTGAGATATACAATCAATTTTTATTGCGCAATACTTTACCACATCATAGTTTTTATCATCTTCAACAACAGCATTGAATTCTTTTTGAGCTAACGATCGATAAGCCACCAGCTCTTCGTTGAGTTTGCTTTTTGTAGTTGATCTGACATTTGATGATGAAGATGATTTTTTTTTACCAATTGAACGAAGAAATGTAGCCATGGAAGATGTAGATGATTGTTCAACTTTTTGTTGTGAATCAAATGTCGATCCTGTTTGTTCGAAAATGTCTTCATCGGCTTCTTGAAAGATACGTTGTTCATATGAAGCCACAATATTACTTTCAATTGCACGTCGTTCTCGTCGATTCAAACATCCATAACCAATGGGATCAAAATAAGCATAATTCTTAAAAAAAAGGTTTAATCTATATTATATATGGAAATTCTTACTTGTAATATTTTCCATTGTTCTTCTTTTCCAATAAAATATTTTTCAATCTGAATCAATAACAATTGTTTCAATTGAATACATAAATTTACATCACTTCGATCAATACAACGTACATCAGCTAAATCTTCAAGAAAATCTCGTATCTGGACGATTGCAAAATATGCAACACTGAAAAAAAAATCCGTGTAATGATCTATCCCTGTACTGTTTATCTGGGCGGATAAACCTGTGTGGGGTATATTTGCGTATGATAAAGCCTTTCGCGGTTTATC